CCGCGAAGGGGCTTTTTCGAAGTACACCTCACTCAGAGACACACACTTGGCGCTGGCCAAAAGTCGGTGGGCGGACGAAGAGCGCGCGTAGCGGCCCCGGAGCACAGCTCCCCCTCTCCTCTCCCGCCCTTACTCGCTTAGTCAGAAACAACGCAGGAAACTTCGAGGGACGTCGCGCCTCTTCCAACTCTTCCCACAAGGGACCGCTTCCCCCCGCCTCTTGCGCTTTTGTTTGGGAAAAAAAAAACATTTCGTGCCGGCTTATTGCCTTGGCTAGGGCCAAAGCGGGGCGCCGCTTTGCCGAGAGCCCGCGCGACCGAGCGCTGCTTCTAGGCAGTCCGCGGAGAGAGAGAGAGAGAGAGAGAGCGGGAGGGCGGTCAGGGGTGCCCCCTTCTTGTGCCCGAGCGGCCACCGCCTCAAGAAAGGAGGGGGAGGGGGTCCCTAAGGACCCTTTCGCTTCAGCTGACACCCCCCTCCGACCGCCGCCGCCGCCCTTTATTGCTGCAGTGGCTGCTTCGCCATAAGGTCTTGTGGCACCTGATCGAGTCCAATTTGGCCTCTTCCCCTCCTGCCAAGACGGGAGGGGCAATTTTCCCACCGAGATGCCCGGGGCGTTACCATGCTCTTCCTCCTTGGCCTTAGCACGTAGAGTGTTGTGTTGGTTAACACGCCTCCTCCCAAGGAAATGACTGGATCCTGTCACTTTTCCTAGCTGATCCCACCTGTGGAGGTTGGTTGTGGGTTTCCAGGACTCTTCCGGATCCGTGCTCCATATGGCTTTGGCTTCTGTCTGCCCTGTAGGAGTCATATTGTGCACGGTCATCTCAGCTATGACTCGTTTTGGTTAGCAGCAGTTGCGCAGCAGGCTGGAGGCCCCGATCACAGGTACAGGGGTGCAACTGTCCCAGGAGAAGGTGCTTTCCGCAAAGGCCCCTGCCTCCCCCTCCTCCTTCCTCCCCCTCCCCGCCCGCCAAGGTTTTCTTATAGTTCTGGACGGTCAGTCTTCAGCTGGTAGATCGGAATGGGGAAATGATGATGACCGCAAGGGACAGGATTTGCTGCCGTCTTAAAAGTGATCCTTGGAACCAAACAGAAATTATGCGGTACAACCTCAGAGTAGGAAAAACTTACAGAGAGAAGTGATTGGTGTAAAAATGGGTAATCACAATGTTTGGTTGCTGCACAGGCCTGCTGTTAAAAAAAAACCACATGCTTCTCATCAAGTGGGGAGGCCGTCCCTGTTAGCAAACTGAAGCGTAATGTTCTTTTTTCTGACATTAAATTTAGAACTGGCTGGAAAACCTGTCAACCCCATATTTAAAGCACTGACTCACAATACCATGCAGGATGCCTTCTCCTCTGGGAGATGCTGCCCTGGGGCTGACTGGGCACAATCCATCTGGGACACTCCCCGTGGAGACTTTGAAGCCTTCGGTGAGTACCAGGCATAGTCAGGGGGAACTGGCACAGAGGCCCAGCTCACTATTGGGTTTTGTACCTGTTTTGGGGCAAGGAGTTGGCAAGAGGCAGCCTGTGCAACATAACGCAGTGCCCAATGATTTGGAGCTCCCTGCGATCTCTTAGAGGGCGCTCCCCTGGAGGCATAAATGCATGCTTGGGGTGGCCTTAAAGTGATGGTGGAATTTGCAACACAAAGCTTGGAAGTCACAAATTTAAAATAACATTGCCACCTACAACCAATGACTTTGGGATGGAGTATAACAAGGTCACAGTTCAAAAGTAGCACATTGAGTGGGAACAAAGTTACTTTGCTAGTATAACTAAGCTACTTTTGGAAACATATCTATTTATGCATGTATTTATATTTGTTTCATTTCTATACCACTTTTCTCCCATTAAGGGACTCGAGGCAGCTCAAAATACTTAATGTACAAGTGAAACTGAAAAAGGGCCATAAATATACAATTAAAAAGAAATATGTGATAATATAAAAATTGATCATATTTAAGGACATTTAAATAAAGTTAAGGACATTTTTAGGTCTTTTGACAGGCATGTTTCAAGTTTTATGCCATCCTTCCAGTCCTAAAGTCCCCCCACCAAAGTAATGAAAAGCATTGTAAGAGTGACAAGCAACAGAGTAACAGAATGAGTTACTTTTTAAACACTGTAAATAATAATGACAAATAATTTCTTTATTAAGTGCCATGAGTAACCGGAATGGATTGCTTTATGATGGTAACTTTGAAAGTTTACGTATGTGCAGCTCTGGTTCCTTGCTTTTTAATCATTTATTTTACCAATATCTGCACGATGCACCTTATTCCAAGATGCTGCCCATGTGCCATGTAGGAAGCTGTAGGCTAGGTGAGGTTTGAGGCCATTCCCACAGAGGACACGCGAGTGCACCATTTGAGGTCACTCCCACTTGACTGAAAATGTCTAACTCTTTATTCTTTCATAGACATTTTTATCATTTCTTTTACTCCACCATGCCTTTTATTATGTTAATTATTTTATTTTTGTTACTATTGCACTTTGTTTTAAGTTGTTAATTCTTTGTATTGTTGTTTTATAATGATGAAATTTGCAAACCACATAATAAATAAATAAATAAATAAATAAATGAATGAATAAATAAATAAATGAATGAATGAATGAATGAATGAATGAATGAATGAATGAATGAATGAATGAATGAATGAATGAATGAATGTTCTGACAGATTGATAGTTAAAAGATAATGTGGTACAGATAGACTGTTTCTCCAGGATCAAGCAGTATTTGCTGCCTATGAACTAAGAGGGGAAAGGCACCTGCCTTGCCTGTCAGTGTCTGACTTTTCTGCCTTTTGCAAGTTCTCTTTTTCTGTTTAGTAGCAGTAGAATCCTAAAGTCAAAGTGCTGTAAAGTGGGGACTTTAGAAGAGAAGCTTGACAGAAGCTTTGAGCAGAAATCGAGCAAGGGTGAGCAGAAGATAGACTTGTGTGCCCTGCTGGTCAGCCTCAGTGATTTGCAGTGAGTTGATAATGCTATTTACCGCTTCCCTTCTGTTCCAGGCAGGAAAATGATGGCACCACTACTAATACAACTGTATAAAGACAAACTGTTGCCCCAGATGCTTTATGGAGGGAGCCCTGGTGTGGGCTTTTTCAAATATGAGAACATTGGGATCTGTCCAATATAAATGTTTAACCAGAGCACTAGGGGTACCAAGATCTACTTCCCTGCCCACAGTCCACTTTCAGACTTCATTCTACATTGTGAGTACTGTTCCTAAGAAAGCAGCTATGCTCTTCTGGCTTAAGGCAGTGTTCCATATGGCCTCACTACTGATCTCACTGCAGCATGAAGGAATGGGAAGGGACTCCTGGGCAGCTGAGATATGAATGACTATATCAAAGCTGGGTTGCTCTTCAGCCTACCTCCACAGAAGGGGATATGAGGCAGCCCAAAAAGATATTAAAATAAATATGATTATTGATGTCTAAATTAGCATGGCATCTGTAGCTAGCTGAAATTCCAACAGGATATACGAAGGCTTTTCCTAGCCTTTTGGAAAGCTACTCCCATATTTGTCCCTTATTAGCACACACATGAGCTGAGACATCTGCTAACTAAATGCAGACTGAACTCCCTACAGTTGAAAGACATTCAGGGACATTACATGGACCAACATGGCACAGGCAGATATTGCCCAGCAGGATGCTATTAAAGCATAGGACATGGTACGTTTTCTACCAGAATGTCCTCTTTGTGCAGATCTGAGGTGAACCAATACCTCAAACCATAGGTCGAAAAACAGGGGTAAATTATCCCAAATTGGGTAAAACTGAAACTCCTGGGGGTAATGAGCAGACTGCTCCCCCCTCCCTATGCTGATTTTTCCAGTTGTTTTAGTCTGCAGTCTCTCTCATGTTCGTTGATTCTGGTACAAATGCTGTGTTTTGTGGTTCCAATATATACCTGGCCACAACTGCAAGGTATCCGGTATACTCCTGCAGTATACAACAACCATCAGATCCCGGCTGTGAAAGCCTTCGAGAATACATCTCTTCAACAGTTTTACACTCATTTATATATGTGATCTGCTTGTTTGATAAGCTCTTCCAAATCAACGTCTTTACTACCAAGTCTTTATTTTGCCAAATAACCTTTGCTTCTGTATCTAGAGTTCATTCCAGTTCGATGATGATGATGATTTGGTTCTGGTTCTTCAGCTTCTACAAAGTCATGCACTCACAAAGCCTTTAAATTAATCTACAGCTTTCTCTTATATTGAGCAAAAGTTGACAGAAGTAAACTTTGAAAGTCTTCAAGAAAAACTCTTAGTTTGATCTAAAATCATCCTTGTATTTCTGAGTGAGTTTGGTTACTGATCCCAGAAAAAAGGAGCTAAAATGAGCATGCAACAACTATTTTTCTCTTCAGCTACTATGTGATTTAGTTGGGGAGGGGGAAAGAAACAAATCACAATGCCTAAAACACAGTAAAACTTGAAAGAAGACTGATTTGCTATCTCTCTGAATCAAGCTACTCATTCTGTGCTTGATCCCATATTCTGTTGTGGAAATCACAACTAATGCCTTTATTTATCAGGCTAAGAAACATGGAGAGATCAACGCAATTTCATCACAACCATCCTTCTCTCTTTGTGCTAGAAATCACTCTAGAAACAATTAAGGTAGAAATTTTTTTTTTATTTACAGTTGTGATCAGTACTTAACAATCAAAATAAAAGAAAGGAAAAACAAGAAGTCAGAGTCTCTGCCATG